CAATTTTCAATGTACATGTAAGAATGTGCGTTGCAACTATTATTAACAATAATGGAAAGGAAAGCTGAGGCTTATCAGTAGCAGTAATACCAATGAACATAAGCCTATGTGCATCTAACATGGGAAGAAAAGTGGTTCTGCCCCTTCTGTGTCAAAACAAAAGTCTTTCAAAACAAAACTGTGGAGTTGTAGACTTTTCTATTTTTGCAATTTTGAGACATTTAATTTGCCAGTGAAACATAAAGTATTATGTTACTCAATTAGATTAAATATTATTAATGCAGCCTGTTCATGCAGCCTCCTCATTAGTTTTGTTGGCATACTTATATGTGAAACCTGGTGACCATTGTGAGTAAAAAGCATCTTCTAAAAAGCATCTTTTACTGCCTTTCTTGGGTTTAATTCTTTTGATGAACCACCAGGGAAAGGCAGTGCTTGCTCTGTTCGTACCTATATATAGTAAAATAAAAGGGAAGTTGAGTCATTTAGTTTTTCTCGTCTCAGGACCTCACAGATTTTCCCCAATACCTGGAGGATGTGCGTCTGTGCAGGGTTTGAGGACTGATTATAGTATCAAGGCTGGCCCCAGTCACCTACCATTAATGTCTGTTCAAATAAATGCTGGACTGTCAGGACAAAGCAGCACACCACTCCTTCATCCAGCACAATAAAAGGGCCCTGTTTCACAATATCACTTTTGGATATTTACATCATGATTTATGAAAACCACACCTTGTGGCACTGCTTTTGTGGATAAGGATGATGTACGTATGTCTTTTAATGCACATTTATATCATATACAGTATACTGTACAACAGTACAGTAAAGCAAGGTTCTCTTTCACTTCCATATGCCCTTAAATGATTGACAAGCATAGTGGGTGAGTGAAGACTAAAACCTACTGTAAATGTTGTTATAATCTTATATTATACTAATAGCTATTTATACTAGTTCCTCCTCCAGGCTGTGGTTAGAGCCTTTACAGTAGATTTAGCCAGAGCCAGGATGTCACTGTGCCAATACAGCCTCCTCCTGAGAGCAAAACATTCCCCTTGTAGTGTTTTACATCTGTTTGGTTACATAAAGTGGGGTGTGGGGTGTGGGTTATGTGTGCATGTGGCAAAATCAGCAGGTTAAAAAGCTGGAACATTTGAAGGTCCATGCCGAGCATTCAGATCTAATAGTCTTCATTTCCACAGGCCTCCACTGGTTTTCACATCATAAAACGTTGCACACAAGGAGAAGGAGGTCAGGCATATTATAAATATGTATAAAATAAATTGTTATAAAGTAATTCTGTGGTACTTTAACATTTTTGGACTACTGTGTTCCTTAGGAGAAAGGTTAGCTTAGCACTAGAAGCAAATAAGCAATCTTGGGAACAAATCCATGATCTAATCTTTTATTTTAACCCATGGGATTTAATTTTTACAGAGCATTTCTTTAAAAGAGAGACATGTGTTTTGACTGGAAAGGTGATTTATTAAACATAAATATTTAAAAATCAGGTTTTGGGCAGTTTTATTAGCTGCACAAGCTCAAACAATACTAAACCAACAAGATGTTAATGCCAATGCTGCAGAGATGCTAAAGGGTAAAAGCAAACTGTTAACACCTCAGCATCTATAGAAGCCAGACATGCAGGGGGTTACCCGAGGGCCACCAGGATGCCAGGAAAAGTGTTTACAAAAGCTAAAACAGTTATGCATCAGCCTTAAGGCATACCATCCAAAATCCTAATCTGCTCCCTAGCCACACTGCAACACTGCATCAAAACAGAGCCTGAGTGCTCCCTGAATCTCCAGTTGTGTGCCCGCTGTTGGAGAGGCAGGGTGGAGCTTACCTGAGAAGTGAAACTAAATTGTGGCATTACTAGGCCGAAAGCCTATGGAAACCCACACAGGCTAACTAATGCACAACCTCAAATTTAAACAGCTAGCCTTGTTATCAAACTAGAACCATTGGTTAATATTTTGTTTTATCAGTGTTATTAAGCAGCTAGCTATCAATGCACAAACACGTTAGTTTTGTTGTTTATTTTATACTAAAGGGGAGTGTGGCCAAAGTCCCCTAAACAGAACGAGAAAGTCAGAGCACACTGTTCAGTCTTCTCCAGAGCTGCCAGTTAACAATCTGAGGAGTCAACAGTTTGATGAACACCAAGCTTTATTTTAACATTAAGCCATTAATTCACAAACACCTCAAAAGAAAACCTTCTGAATAATACCTTTGTCACGTCACAGAATAGGAACAGGAACTTCTAATGACATTTTCTCACATCTGATACAAATGGGGATCGAGTTCTCTTCCTCTTAACATATTAACATACAGCATTAAATCAATCTGTCCACACACACATCCCTCACACTGTCTTAATGTTGCAACATGCTTTAGTCTCCAGAGGGATACCAGGCAGGGTTACCCACTCTCTCCCTCGCTATTTGCCATTTTTATAGAGCCGCTAGCAGCTGCTATCAGACAAAATAATAATATTAAAGGAATTCAAACCGAAAATATACGCCTTTATGCAGATGATGTATTACTTTTTCATACAGTCTACACAAACTAACTCACAAACTTCTCTTTCTGAGACAATCACACTTATAGATAAATTCTCATCCATCTCAGACTACTCCATAAACTGGAGTAAATCCATAGTTTTACCTGAAAAGTGTGAGTGTATCTACCACACCGCTAAAGTCTGGGAATATTAAATATCTGGTTGTCAATATTTCCTCCAGGCTGTCAGAACTGACATGGCTAAACTACACGCCTTTACTTAAATCAATAGAGGATGACCTTGTACGGTGTACATCATTACCTATATCACTCATGGGAAGAGTCTCCACCATAAAAATTATAGTCCTACCTAAAATCAATTACCTGTTTTCATTGTTACCCACCAAACCCTCTGCTGTCTGTTTTAAATCACTGGACTCAAACATCAGCCGTAGGTGGGGGTCTGTGGTCTCCCTGGCTGCGGGGTGTATGGTGTATGGCGCCGGCTGGCATCTATCCTGTGCAGCGTATTAAATGCACTTACTTTTAATACTTTTAATGCTGCAAAATTATTCATGGATACCATGTTTTTTTGGGGAGGCATCTGTTGGTCTGGGAGTCACACAGCCTCACACATAGACACAAACAAATTTAGGTTGTCCCTTATTCCTGATGCTTTTCTTTCAGTTACTTATTTAAATTAATTGTTATTATTCCAGCTCTCGTGGCTGTGCTGTGTTGCTTATTTATTGTGCCTGTCTGTTTCTTGTTTTCATTTTTCTCTTAGTTGTCTTAATATGTCAGCTGTTTATTGCTGCTCTTCGGCTTGTTGTCTTTTATTATTATTATTTTTTATTGTTTTTGTTTGTTTGTTGTTGTTTTTCTCCTACCCAAGTCCCCCTTCTGTTCTATTACAGGTTTTGTTGCTTTCTGCAATTGGTTCTTCCATCTGCTATTCCCTGTTGTCCCCACCTTCCATCCCCATTCTCTTGCAGGTTTCAGGGTCATACTCTATACAAGGCTGCTGGGCAGGACAGGTTAATAAAAAATAAATAAATAAATAAAAAGATAGAAATGGTTCGTTCTAAGGTAATAAAAATGTAATTATGTAAGGTCTGTATACACCTCTGAAAACAAAGTTATGTATATTATAATAGATCCTCCATGTATATGTCAATAGATCCTCCTAAATATTACATACTTGACCTTTAAATGTTAAAGGGAATCTAAGTGGGAAGAAGGTTCTGTGATCTGGTGTGACCAAAATTGAGATTTTGTCCAAGAGACAAAAGAAATCTGCTTATACAATACAATACAAAAACATGAAAATGTCCAAGGAGGTGAATACTTTGTACAGTCACTGTTTGAAAATACACACCTCCCCATCATTCAGGCGTACATAATAGCTACTATTTTTACACTTCTTTGTCTTGTTAGATGAAGAAATCTGAGCCTTTTACAAAGCCCTGCTGAGAGACATACCTGAAGTGATGGATGCACAGAGATTGCAAGAGAACTTTATTGTGTTGACATTGTTTACTGGTTCATCCTGTCCAAGCTGTCAGGCCCAGCAACACCTACAGGAACAGTTATGTGGTGTATATTTCCGTGTCAACTTCATGATGTTTCCTATGGAAGAAATTAAATGTGTCATTATTTGAAACTTCTGTGTGCAGGTTCCTACCCAAACGGATATAAATTAGCTCCACCTCGTCCATGTACAACGTTAAAATGCTGCTTACGACTTAATACATCAGTAGGGGCGGCTGTGTAAGTTTGGCGATTCGATTCTTCTCCAATGTCCTTGGGCAAGATATTGAAAATTAAATTGCTCCATCGGTGTGTCCATCGGTGTGTGGTTGACATACTGTAAAAGTGTATTTCAGTTTATTTTTAATAAAAAGTAACTGGAATCAAAGATTACCTTAAAGGAGGAAACGGTACAAATGAGTTGTGACAGTTGAGGACAAATACATAAGCCACAGCTATAAGACGTCTGACAGGTGGTGGATGGCATTCACTCAGAATTCAACCAGACTTCTGTGCAGAAATATAGAATGTTGCTAGGTGAGATTCATGACTGTGAGTGTATTAAAGTTTCACAGTGTTGTTTCTGTCTTCTGGAGGTGTCACCTGAGACTTTTTAAATTTAATTTGTTTTAAAGTCAAATGAACCTCCCCATCTGGAAAGATGTGTCAAGATTAACTTATGTTTTAATCTGTAAACGCAAGATAACTGTCAGTTATTAAATTGAAACCATATGAAAGTTTAGTTCTGGTGGACTTAAAGCATCCTGGCTGTTTCTTTTTTTTCTTTTACTTGAGTAAATATTCTTAACTTAGAGACGTGACATTTTTTGTGAAACAGGTGGTAGGTGAGGTGAGATGCCTGTCATTGGACAGGTATGTGGATGTTGGAGGTACACTGAAAGGGAGGGAAGAATAGAGAGGAAGGGGAGAACAAGGGTATATATTGATGCAGAACTGATCATATAGACTTACAGTTATGGCTTTCTACAAAGTGATCTGTTTGGCGACTCTGCTGACTCTCTTGACACAAGGTAAGGTCCCTCCCCACTGTACACACCTGAACCAATCATGTTTGAGATCTGATGACTGCTGTATGAGGAGGAAATCTTTTAATTAAGTAAGAGTAGTTGTAAGAGGAAAAAGTATCACATGCAAATGGAAATCCTGCATTCAAATTAAACTTAGCAGTGTATTTGATCTCTTAAAGTTTCTGTTTTTATTGCAAGGCTGTGTGATTTGAATTTAAGCCATTAAACGGAGAAACGAGTTTTGGCAGCTTTTTGTGTGCCTGAGTTTTCATTTTGTTAGAAAGTATTTGTTGTTTAAAGTAAAATGATTTAACATTATTGTAGTCTTCTCCCACCTTTATACAATACCTCTTTGACTAATTTTAAAGAGGATTTGGCATTAGTTATTTAAAGAAACATGTGGTTTGTAGAAACTAAGTTGATGTGACAAAAACATTCAGTCAATCCAAGAAATAGCAGATTACAGTTTTTTTTTACAACTGCTGCACGTATTCAAAACTATGTCACCTTTTTTCAAAACTCTCCACACAATTCCCAAAACTGCACACACAAAATGCAAAATGCCTCATGTGTCCTTCAAAATGAAAAAATACATTCAAAATGCCATAAAACATCCCAAGATGAAGCACTGGCATGCAAACAATTTTTTCATAACAAATTATTGGATATACCATTTATACACTGCTGTTCTAAATCTCTTTTGATTTTTATAGGATTATATGTACATTTCCATACAATGTTCTTGAGTGAAAGTAATCTGCTGAGAGGTGCTGAAAAGCACAATGTAAACACCAAAGCAATGTTGAAACAATATTTATGAATATTTATTTGACAAAACATTACAGTTGTAACAGTAGCACAGTGTTTGAGTGGAGAGCTTCATTCTGACCTGAAAATAGGATGTTTGGGGAATTGGGTGAGAAGTTGTGGATTTGTGTTTAGAGTTTTGAGGAAAAGAAGCATAATTTCAAAAAATGAGTTTCAGCAATCGTGAATAACTGTAATACTTATTTTACAATACTGTATTGCTGAAATAACCATTAGATTGTTGCGACCTGTTCTAATTTATGAAGGTTCAAATTATGGATGCCAATGTAAAGCAACTCAAGCTGGGCTGAACTCTCAGTGCAGCTTCTCTCATTGTGGTTGATCACCTGATCAATAAGTGTGACCCTGATCTCCTCCTCCTTGAACTTGTCCTCGTTGTCATCCATTGTTCAAAACAGGTATTGTGACCTTTGACCTATGTATAGGTCTACTGTATACTAAAGCGGTGGTTGGTTAGTGATTAGTTAAGCAGTTAGTGTGAGGAGTCGGTGTGTGACCTGGGGCGAGTTCACTCTCAAAACATTTAACACCGGTTTGCAACGTTTTCGGATTGAACGAAACGATGTTTCCTTGCAACATTGCGCAACATTCTGCAACGGGCCTTGAGGTATGTTTTCTTCTGTTAGGTGGGCATGTCACAGGTATTACCCAATCAGCAGCGACATGTTTGTAAACACAACGGTGTTAAAAAGGAACCACCGTTTCCGTTGAAAAAAACATTTCGCTACGTTTTGTCGGCGCTGAACTCGCCCCTGGTGAAGAAGAGTAGTATTTTCATTGGTTGTGTTTTGAAAAGGAAAGCGAGTCACTTCCTGTTCGACTTTTGTGTCTTAGGTAGAGAATTGTGTGTACTGTTCTGAAAAAAGTGTTTTATGTAATTGAAAACTGAGTTAAGGGCTGAGAAATAGCTTATGGTCTTGAAGATTTGAGGTAAAGTTTTGCTCTTTGAGTGAGAGGTTTCAAAAATCGTGTGACTTGTAAAGATTTTGTGTAAACAGTCGTAAAAAACTCTAATTCTGCAACTTAAAGCCACCTTAAAAAGTGACATTAACATGAATGTGGAATGTGAATGGCAAAACGTCACTTCAATAGGCATTGTTGTATAAATTGATCCTTAATTTAAGACGTTTAAAGAGACATTTACGCTTCTATTCAGGAGGTATGTGGATTTATTAGATAGATCAGAGCAGCAGATGGGTTTCAAGTTAACATGGAGCCAGACCCCGTTATGTCCCTGATTGCAGAACTTTGACTGAGAAGAAAAAGAAAATTTGTTCTCTGAGCAGTGAGCAGAGTGAGCCGTCATGTCACAGTAAATCCTCTTGTTCCTGAATGTCGCAGAAATTGAGGACTCAGAGTGAGTGATTAAGTTTCTTTTATTAAAGTATGTAATCACCCAAAGTTCAAACAGATGTAGGGCAATATATACACATTTTATGTATATTCTTTACTTTTTATATGATATGATAATGTTTGATTTTCATCTGAAGCAGAATTATTTAGTAATTCATATAAAATAGTATTAAATCATACTTTAAAAAAGTTCAGGATGAACTGAAAGCAGCCTCTCTGTTCAGGAAAGTAAATCATTAAAGCAGAAACACATAGCCTATAGAAATCTATTTACGCATGATCCATCAGGGGAGCTGCCGTCTTGTTAAGAGGAGTCGAGCTCCCCCGTAGTTTGCACCCTGTCTACAATCTCAACCATCGGGTTCCCGCAACAGAAAATAATGTTACTCTTACTCATGGATTTGTTTTTCTGGTGCCAAAATGGTTTGCGTGTTGGTGAGTTATTAAATAAACAAAACGGCAATTAATTTCGACTTAAAATGCATTGTAACGCGCGTTATTGAGATTGTAATGGGTAAAATATTACCAAATTTTATTTAGTAATGCGTTATATTACTGCGTTACAGCAAAAAGCAATACATTACTGTAATTGCGTTACTTTTGTAACGCGTTACTCCCAACGCTGTCACCCACCCAAACAAGCAGTGGAGGGAGGCTTCAGCAGACTACGCTGGATGCAGCTTATGGTAGAACTAGATAAACAAAAGCAAGACAAGCGATTAAACGCCACAGTGAAGCGGAGAGCTACACACTGCATGCTGATTAGTATTGGGGAAGAGTCTTAGGAACGTTCTTAAAATCACAACGTAGTCGCTTGGCCCCGCGGGGTCGCTCTACGCTCCAGTGATTGGACAGGGAGACGAGCGCTCCGCCAGTAAACGGCAGGGGATCTATGGAGAGTAACCATGGCAACGGTGTCTTTGCACTATACAGCTGTAGCCTATTTACCTTAAATTAAAATTATAGGCTACGTAACTTTACCTGACAGGCCTTCATCTAGTGTTGCGGGGATGCTCTGCCAAACCAACTCCAGATCTTTATCAGTGTGTAGTCAATGTCACTGACTGGAGAACCTAACATGTTTTTGATGGTGGGGGAAACTGGAGCACCCGGAGGAAACCCATGCAGACACGGGGAGAACATGCAAACTTCACACAGAAAGGCCAGGACGACCGGGGTTTGAACCCACGACCTTCTTGCTATCCACTGGACTACTGTGCTGATAAAAAAAAACACACACAAAAAAATAGATTTATATACATTAACCTGTTGCTCAGAAGGTGCATGTTATGATGTTATGATCGTGGCTCTGGACTCTAACAAGCTATAAAAGGTAATGCCCTGGCAGTGGCAAATAGCTTTGGTTTTATATTTGATTTGATTACATTAATGTTTAAGTTGAGATTGAGAAGTAGTCACTACTTTAGAATTCATTATTCAATTTTCCGCATAACAATGCGATTAAAATTTTAATCGTTACCCAGCACTTGTAAATATAAATACAGAGTTGTTGTTTCAAGAGTGTTTGTTGTTTGTTTTCTATTTTCAGAGTCTCACTCACAACTAAATGGTATGTCAAAGTTTCTATGCTCACTTTTTTACTTCCTGTCATTTGGGACATTTCAAACATGCTTTTTTTGGATAAAAATGTTGTTCATAACTTCATTATTGTTGACTGTCAACCCCGTATTGCTCACTCTGTCTTTATTGTCTCTCTCCTCAGTGTGTGGTCGGCCTGTGCTTAACACCAAGATTGTTGGAGGACAGGTGGCCTCTGCAGGCAGCTGGCCCTGGCAGGTCAGTCTGCGAACCTCTGGGTTCCACTTCTGTGGAGGATCCCTCATTAACAATCAATGGGTGCTGACTGCTGCTCACTGCTTCTACAGGTAAGCACTGAGGGTAGGGCTGCGAAAAAAAACAACATGCCACGCAGTGGTGTAAACATCCTTTCTAACAACCTGGAGGGCACGACCCATCCAAGTAGCTCTAGAGATGAATAGAAGGGTATTTGAGTGGCCCAACAGCCCATCTGGTGTGACTGGAGGCCCAGACATATCCTAGTTAAAGCCCCTAAAATTGAATTTTTTACAAATGTAAAAATGTGTGAAAACACTGTGACTCCCTAATTCACTGTAACTTTAAATCAATTTATTTGTGCTAAATCTAATCTCTATATGCATATCAAAGATTTTTGTATTGAATGTGTATGTGGTTTCTATTTGTAGTCTAACGTAGTAGGCTTTGGTTGCATGCAGGTACACAGCCAGTGTGAGATCAAAAGGGAAGCAATGCATTGGCCGAAATGCATTCTCTGAACCCAGAATCAGAAGGAGCTTTATTGCCAAGTAGTGTTTTACACATACAAGGAATTTGGTTTGGTGTTAAGGTGCTACACGCAGACAGAGATACAGCTGACATAAATAGATGAATAAATAAATAAATATGTAATAAACAAATGCAAGTTATATAAGAATAACAGACAAATAGAGAAAAATAATACAACTGTATAAAAATAACAATGGAACAACAACAATTTACAATTAACAACAAATATGTGCAATGTGCCAGGTTTGTGCATGATATGACATGAAATGATATTTACATGTGCAGAGACGATTGTTTTATTTGAGGGGGGGGGGTGATTGGGGGACCTGGACCTTGTTGATGAGGCTAGCTGCAGACAGGTAGAAGCTGTTTTTGTGGCAAGAGGTTTTGGTCCTGATGGGCCACAACCTCCCGCCAGAGTGGAGAGTCTGAAACAGTCAGCTGCAATCTTTCCTGGTCGCCTCAGAGTCCTGGAGGTGTGCAGGTCCAGAAGTGATGGAAGATTGCAGCCAATCACCTTCTCTGCAGGGTGAATGATGCGCTGCAGCCTGCCCATGTCCCTGGCAGTGGCAGCAGCGTACCAGATGGTGATGGAGGAGGTGAGGATGGACTCAGTGATGGTGGTGTAGAAGTGCACCATCATTGTCTTTGGCAGGCTGAACTTCTTCAGCTGCCGCAGGAAGTACATCCTCTGCTGGGCCTTCTTGGTGAGGGAGGTGATGTTCAGCTCCCACTTGAGGTCCTGGGAGATGATGGTGCCCAGGAAGCGGAAGGAGTCCACAGTGGTGACTGGAGAGTCACACAGGATGATGGGGGAGGGTGGGGCTGTGCTCTTTCTTAAGTCCACGACCATCTCCACTGTCTTCTGAGCGTTGAACTCCAGACTGTTCTGGCTGCACCAGGTCACCAGATGGTCGATCTCCCACCTGTAGACGGACTCATCCCCACCTGAGATGAGCCCAATGAGGGTGGTGTCATCTGCAAACTTCAGGAGCTTGACAGACTGGTGACAGTGCAGCTGTTGGTGTACAGGGAGAAGAGAAGGGGGGAAAGAACGCAGCCTTGAGGAGATCCGGTGCTGATGGTCCTGAATCAGAGACATGTTTACCCATCTTCACATGCTGCTTCCTATCTGTCAGGAAGTCTGTGATCCACCTGTAATTAGAGTCAGGTACGTTCAGCTGGGAGAGCTTGTCCTGCAGCAGGGCCGGGATGATGGTGTTGAAAGCAGAGCTGAAATCCACAAACAGGATCCTGGTGTAGGTTCTTGCCAGCCACCACTGACTGTGGCCAGTCAGCTAGTTGGCAAGGCGTTCATGGAGTGGGGGGATTTAGGTTTGTGGCTGGTGATCTGTCTGAATCCTCTCCAGACAGAAGCTGAGTCATTCCTTGAGAACTGGTGTTGTAGTCTCTCTACATACAGCTGTTTAGCATCTCGCACCGCCTTGCTAAATCTGTACTTTGACTCCTTAAACCTGGCTCAGTCCCCACTCCTAAATGCCTCTTCCTTTTCCAACCTCAGCTGTCTGAGTTTAGCTGTGAACCAGGGTTTGTCTTTGTTATAACTCACCCTGGTGCGGGTTGGAATGCATCTGTCTTCACAAAAGCTGACGCAGGACGTCACAGCCTCTGTAAACTCATCCAGATTGTTAGTAGCAGTCCTAAAAACATCCGAGTCAGTGCAGTCCAAGCATGCCTGGCTTACAGTTTATGATTAAAAATTCCAGATTAGGAGAACAGTGCTGCTGAATCACTGTAACGTCGCTACACCAGCCATTGTTAATATAAAAACAGACACCTCCACCTTTTGTTTTGCCGGAGAGCTCTGCGTCACGGTCCGCTCTGTACAGTTGGAAGCCAGCCAGCTGGAGCGCAGAGTTCGGTATCAGTTCACACAGCCACGTCTCCGTGAAGCACAGAACAGAAGATGAATAAAAGTCTCAGTAGCTGAAGTTCATCCAGTTTGTTGCACAGTGAGTGCACATTGGAGAGAATCATTGCCGGTAGCGGTGTGCGGAGTCCCCGCCGGCGGAGGTGCATGAGCGACCCGGCTTGTTTCCCTCTCTTATGCCGTAGTCTTATGGCGCTTCATTCAGCTAACAACAACTAAAGAGCCCTTCACCAAAATGTCCAATAATTCCACAGATGACGCGAGAAAAGTGGGAAATCAATCCGCTGAAGTTGTTCCCCTGATGTTCATGAGCTCTTCTCTGGTGAAAGAGCTCCGGGAATCACAGCCGAAAACTGAGTTAACACAAAAAAACAAAACAAAAGAAAGCGCACCTAACTCCGAGGCAGCCATAGACAGCGCCATCTTGGAACCACATCAACAACCCATTGCCTATCGTCGGACAACAATTTAGCTTTTTATTAGCTTCGTAAACTGGCTACTTGTGAAACATTTAAGGTGTAGATGTCGTCTCTCCACTCCATTCTTGCGTCTCAAGTTGCTAATCGGACTGTAAACAGTGTACCCTGGCAGAAAAGATTGTTTGATGTAATAAAAAACAACTTTGATGATAAAGCAGATGTTTTTTCAGTTCACAAAGATTCATCTTTTTCTTTTCATTTTTCTGAAGTTCTCCACAGCAACTGATCCAAAGAACATGGACTAGGCCTATGTGCAGACTGAGGGGGAAATTATTAATTTGAGGAAACAACTTAGGACATGAGACCATGAAAATGTATATTAAGCACATGAATGAGTAAGATGAGGGAATGATTTATAATATAATGGATACTAATTTACAATAACATCATTAATTTGTGGGAATGATATCTCCATGTTGCAACATTTATCAAGCTCCATACAAACTAGATGTGGTCTTAAAGTGGACTTTGTGTTCGCTAAAGTGCTCTTGACTACAGTTCTTCTTTTCGTGTATTTGCATTGTTTCTCTTCTGATTACAGCACAGGCATAGACCCAAACGATGTGGCTGTGGTTCTGGGTGTCCAGGCTCTACAGGGATCAAACCCTAATCAAGTGACTCGGACAATATCACAGACCATAATTAATCCCAACTATAACTCCAACACTCATGACAACGACATCTGCCTCCTGAAGCTCTCCTCACCAGTAACTTTTACCACCTACATCCTGCCCGTCTGTCTGGCAGCCCCAGGCAGCACCTTCTACAAGGGGACTGAAGCCTGGGTCACTGGCTGGGGCAACATTGCAAGTGATGGTGGGTCAGAAAGCACCTGGAGTACATTTATTTTCAGAGATAGTGTGGCTACGGTGGTGGCAGATATGTATGTACCTTTACCCAGTGGAGCAACTAAACCTTTCCTGTGGCTCTATGTATGGATACTTTTATCATAATCTGTTTGTGACATTAGCAAACAACTTTTAATATTTTATATTACAAGCTACAATACAAAAGTGTTAAAACAAACATAAAGATATGATGTTTTCTTGGAGGTTTCGCAGTAAGCAGTTTGTTCTGATGATGGCGCCAGAAGAAAGGTCATTAAAGGTGACCTGTGGAGTTTATTTGTATACAAAGAAAAGTGTTGTTTACATAAACAGTTTTAACCAAATCACACTGTGTGTACCCTTAAGTTCTAGCAAATGTGTTGAATGTGTATTCTTCATCATAAAACATTTGCTATGTGGATATTTTAAATATTTATAACTATGCATTGTTTGCATCCATGTTTGGTTGCTAGCATTGTTTTTCTTCATTGCCTTTGTTGGGCATTTCCTAGACTAGTTTATAAGTAACTGCTAGTGGTTGACAGATACTTAGTTTTGGAAGATACTATACATTACATTACACTGATCAGCCATAACATTATGACCACTGACAGGTGACGTGCTTAACACCGATTATCTCGTTATCATGGCACCTGTGGGTGCTTTATATCAGGCAGCAGGCGAACATTGTGGCATCGTAGTTGATGTGTTAGAAGCAAGAAAAATGGGCAAGTGTGAGGATTTGAGCGACTTTGACAAGGGCCAAATTGTGCATCTCCAAAACAGTCTGCAGCGGTCAGTACTTATCAGAAGTGCTCAAAGAGGGGAAACTTAGCCAGCGACAGGGTCTTGGATGGTCAAGCCTCATTGATGCATGGGAGGAGCGAAGGTTGGCCTGTGTGGTCCGATCCAAAAGATGAGCAACCGCAGGTCAAATTGTTGAAAAAGTTCATGTTGGTTCTGATAATAAGGTGGAGTACATGCCTCGACAGGTCAGGGCTGTTTTGACAGCAGGTGGTCATAATGTTATGGCTGATCAGTGCATAACATAATGTATAGTTAACTAGCCTGTAACAGTTTTAGATTTGATTTTTTTGTAATTTAGGATGGGAGAAACATGTTGACATTAGTACTTAAAGTGGTTTGAGGAGGAACACCTGACAATACTTGAGGTGTGCAACAGACTTACCGTTTGAAACCATTTCATATCACATTTTCACCACTTGTCTCTTTAGTGTCCCTTCCTTCCCCGGGAAACCTGATGGAGGTGCAGGTGCCGATTGTGGGGAACAGAGAGTGTAACTGTAACTATGGAGTGGGCTCAATCACTAGCAACATGATGTGCGCCGGGTTAAGTGCTGGAGGGAAGGACTCCTGTCAGGTGATCATTTTTACGCCCGGTGTTTATGACAGATTTCACCTTCTGCAAGTATTAATTCTCCTAAATGTTTGTCTCTTTAAAGGGGGATTCAGGAGGTCCGATGGTGAGCAAGCAGGGCGGTCGCTGGATCCAGGAGGGAATTGTCAGTTTTGGTAACGGCTGTGCCCTGCCTAATTTCCCAGGAATTTACACCCGAGTGTCCCAGTATCAGTCCTGGATCAACAGTCAGATCACCAGCAACCAGCCAGGCTTCATCACCTTCACGTCCAATGGGACTGACGGTGACCTCAGCGTCACCTGTCCTGGCCTGCCACCACCTCCAACCACACGCACTTCCACCACCATCACTCCAACCACGCGCACTTCCACCACCATCACTCCAACCACACGCACTTCCACCACCCGCACTCCAACCACACGCACTTCCACCACCCGCACTCCAACCACCATCACTCCAACCACACGCACTTCCACCACCCGCACTCCAACCACCATCACTCCAACCACACGCACTTCCACCACCATCACTCCAACCACACGCACTTCCACCACCCGCACTCCAACCACACGCACTTCCACCACCATCACTCCAACCACACGCACTTCCACCACCCGCACTCCAACCACCATCACTCCAACCACACGCACTCCAACCACCATCACTCCAACCACGCGCACTTCAACCACCCACACTCCACCACCCGTAGTCCAACCACCCGCACTCCAACCACCATCACTCCAACCACGCGCACTTCAACCACCCACACTTCCACCACCCGTAGTCCAACCACACGCACTTCCACCACCCGCACTCCAACCACCATCACTCCAACCACACGCACTTCCACCACCATCACTCCAACCACACGCACTTCCACCACCCGCACTCCAACCACACGCACTTCCACCACCATCACTCCAACCACACGCACTTCCACCACCCGCACTCCAACCACCATGACTCCAACCACACGCACTCCAACCACCATCACTCCAACCACACGCACTTCCACCACCCGCACTCCAACCACCCGCACTTCAACCACCATCACTCCAACCACCCGCACTTCAACCACCCACACTTCCACCACCCGTAGTCCAACCACCCGCACTCCAACCACCATCACTCCAACCACGCGCACTTCAACCACCATCACTCCAACCACCCGCACTCTAACCACCACTGCCCAATGTAAGTGCCTGCCATATCCAGGGGACTTTAAACACCTATAGTCAGCTATAAATGGTCAGCGAAACACCTCTTTTCATTAATATTAATACCTACTTACTTCATGGAGACCAGGACAGCAAATTCTGTCAGAAAAGCTACAAAAAGAAATTTAACCTAGTGTGACAATGACCTTCGTTTTGGTGAAGCTGAAGCATGTTGTTTTAGGTGAGTAAAACGCGCACATACACGCAACAATTATGCCCCTCCTGAGTAGTGATGGTAGCGGAGGGGCACACAAGATGGGATGATTCCCGTTTGAAAAAAGAGTAAACGAAATGCATTCCTCTTGTGTTGAAACATTTATTTAGGCTATACTCCACTCACTTAACAAGGCTGCTGATGAGTTAAAAGAAATATGATTTGTTTACATGACAGTGGAGTGCCCCTTTAACTTCTACTGCTGTCACGTTTTTATGACATTAAGGCATCATCAGGGACTGGAGCAATAACTAGTAGTAAGACAACGTCTAAGCAGTAGTACTAATAATAAAATTAGCAGCAGGATAAACAGTATAACAATAACACACTGTCATTCCAGCCCGTCCTTCTCACAAAAATATAGTCATAGGGTGCTTCTTAAGTCTCTTAACTGCATCCACGTTTCCCTAACTTGTGTAGGAAACCAAGCCAGGAAAGAAGGAAAGAGGAAATATGTTTTTAGAGTCATGAGACGTCATGTGAAGCGACTTCCGTTTCACATGACGGCACCTGATCACAACTGGATTAGCTGTCAGTTGGCTCTAACAGCTGCACAGACTTTTGATGGAGTTTGTGTCTACATACATGTGCACAGTTTTGGTACTAATAAAGTCTCACAGTTATCAGCGCAGAGCAGCATGATTCTCTGTTACCTGTTACAAACAGCTGTCCTGCTTAGAGGCACAGGATAATTTCTACTGGCACAATGCTTATAGGCATTTATATTTATTGATTCTAATTGTAAATTTTTTATTGAATAATCCAGGAAATGATCATGGTGTCTTGGGATTTATTAGCCTAAATGTTTCAGGGAAATTGAAATGATGTAACTTGTATCAAAGTTGACGCTCAGTTTTAGGCTTTCAGTTTATTTCCTCTTCTGATATCCTTTAACAGTACTGCGTACATTTTATTTGCAAATCGCAATCACTTGTCAGTGATCGATCACTGCATTCAATCATATCAATCCAACAATTGTTTTTGCGCAGCAGCTTTCATTCATACTGACTCATTAGGCTGTTTACTATGTTTTATCGTCGTCAATTTGGACTAAACATAGGAATGACCAGCCTCACATGTGACTGAATATAAATGACGGTGAGATTATAACATGTTTCTTGCAGACTCACAGTCTCCATAATAAAAGTTGATGGGAGAAATAAAAGAAAGAAAGATCTTTCTAATAAATAATAAAGTTGGGGGAGGGGGGCTTTTGTTGTTCAGAGACTATAAGACTTTGCAGCGATACACTTGAGTTTAATGTAACCTGTCGTGATGCATCAGATGAGTCCGATCCAGCGGCGTGGTTAGCCCTGGGCAAAAGCCCCGGATCTCAGAAGGATTTTTAAAAATCAAACAATAAAAGGCCGATAATTGAACTTTACACGCTTAACTAACGTTACGCACGCGGGAGCGAGAGAGAGAGATTATTGTTATTATTTATTCTCCTGCAAATTAGCAGAGAATAAGATGATCCAGCTGTAGCTCTGTGTCCTCTCTGCTCCACCTGAAGCGGCTGTGAGCTGCACTTTATCAGAGGCGCTAAATTTAATTGTGTGGTGAGGTTAATCACCTGATAGGCAGAGGAGGTATTATACATATTTAATTTCAAAATCTATGTTTGGTCCCCCCCTCTTTCCTAATGTAAAGTTTTATTTCGCATTGCCTTCCTGGCTCATAAAGGAGGCGGTTTACTAAGTGACCAGTCAATCACTCACACAGTCCACATCAGTCAGACAAAATGTAGCCTATAGAAATGTTTAGGGAGGAAAAATAAACGTTGCTGGAGGCCAGTGCATCTTCTTATTTTGTGCTGCTGTTACTTCTAGCTGAAGGCAGCAGTGATGATGTCTGCAGCAGGGGTGGGTACATCTAATGTAGGACTACTCTTAATTTCGCTACATTTTCCATTCATACCTTTTATAACTTAACCAGTCTGTAATCTGCATTTTGCTTCATTAACTGAAATGAGCTGTGATCCAGGCTGTGAGCGCAGTTACGTAGTAAAGCGCTGGTCGGGCGCAGTCACAGAGCTGGGCAGATGCAAACATTTAGAATATCAGTCAATCAATATCTTTTCAGTTCACGGCTTTATTGTTCTACAACTTAAATCTAGTGAGCGCACACCATGGCACTGGTGATCGTGTTGGAAAGCAGCCTTCATCGCACTTTAACAAGCCGGCAGTGAAACACTTTCACTTTCCATTAACGGCGCATTAAAAGCGTCTTTAGTCTCTGCAGAGTAAATGAAGCCTACACACTGTAAGATCTACGTTAGACGATCACTGCATTGATTGAGATATATTAAAAGTGTCCTGTTATTGAACAGCATCGCTTTGGACATCATTAAAATGACCTTGAAAATCAAAATGATTTCATTTATTAATTGGTTACGTAAAAAGATGTCACATGCACATTTAAAGAGTTTACCTCAATCAGTCACACCTGCGTGTGTGTTGATTCAGCAGTGATAATATTAAAAGTTGATCTACAGGAGAAACTGTATAAATATCTGAAAGCTGAGAGCTGCTCTGCATTATATTCTGTTACAATTTTAGATTTTATATTGTTTTATTATACCTTTATTAAATCAGAAAAAAATGCTTTTCCAAGAGTGTCCTGGCCAAGGGAGGCAGTAGTACAATTGTACATTTAAGATGGAAATACATAATCAGTTACAAGGTCATAAAATATCAAAATGTTCTTAAATATTCACCACAATTCAGCAACACCTGAATTTTGTGCACAATAAATTGATGCAGAAAAGGCAGAAATTGGCGCAGAAAAACACCAGAATGCAGGAAATTAATTATTATTAATATATTATTAATTAATTATTGTGTGAAGATATGAAGTTTTATGGGCTGGGCTAAGCCCCCAGTGTTTCAAGATCCTAAAAACGGTGTTGGTCATTAAAAGACTTCCGCGAAGGATATCCTCGCTCATAGCTCCTCAGAGATGGCTCCTCGATCCTCGATCCTCCGAGGGCAGACAAGAGCTTTGGGACGGTCTGCAAGAGGACGGAGCGGAACAACTTCCGGTTCAAGCGAGGAGCAAAGAAACTACAATTAAGAGACTTGAGAAGCACCCATATAGATCAATTCATAGGCCTATTTATTTATTTATAAATGATTTTCCCGGTCTGTTAGCTGAGAGGGTCAGGGTTGAAATAGTTTCACATCAAAAGTCTTTGTGTTTGAATCAGTTTAGCAATAAACGTTAGAGATGATCACAAAAATCCCTAAACTAAATGGCTTGAGATCAAATATAAATTCAGTAAATATAAATTCAAGATTGCTGTTTCAAACAAGCGTCTTACTCATAACTAAATGGTAAGTCAAAGTTTCTATGCTTACTTTTTTTACTTCCTGTCCATCTGTCATTTGGGAATTTTTATTTTTTTTTGGATGAAAATCTTTTTTTTTTTATAACTTCGTATTTGCTGTCGAACCTGTATTGCTCACTCTGTCTTTATTGTCTCTCTCCTCAGTGTGTGGTCGGCCTGTGCTCAACAACAAGATTGTTGGAGGGCAGGTGGCCTCTGCAGGCAGCTGGCCCTGGCAGGTCAGTCTGCAAATCTTTGGTTACCACTTCTGTGGAGGAACCCTCATTAACAATCAATGGGTGCTGACTGCTGCTCACTGCTTCTACAGGTAAGCACTGAGGGTAGGGCGGCGACAAAAAACAACATGCCATGCAGTTGAATTAACAGCCTTCCTACAGCAGTGGTTCCCAACCCGGGGGTCACAACCCCTCTAAGTAGCTCTAGGGCTAACCAGAAGGGTATTTGAGTGGCCCAAGAGCCCCTTTGGTGTGACAGGAGGCACAGACATAGTTAAAGCACCAACATTTGCTACTATTATAACAAATGTAAAAACGTTTGAAAACACCGACTCCCTAAACCAATTATTTTGTGCCCTGAACCTAATCTCTATAAACAGATATCTGCATTTGAATGCAGAATCTAAAAGAAAGTGACAAGATTTTTGTATCGGATGCATCTGTGCTTATTTGTAGTCTGACAAGTGTTGACCAGTTAAGTTTGAGCAGGCTTCTGTTGCATGCAGGTACACAGCAAGTGTGAGAGCAAGAGGGAAGCAATGCATTGGCCAAAATATAGTCTCTGAACCGATCGACTAACGTCTGATGATGATTTAGTTTTTTATTCGCTTAGTAAACTGTGGGGTCTCCACAGCAACAGATGCAAAGAACAGTGCTGACTTTGTTTGAGGAAACAACTTATGAAATTAGGACTTGAGGTCATGAAAAAGTACATTGAGCACATGAACAGCTAAGTGAAGGGAATGATTTGCAATATAATAAGGACATGAATTACTAACTTTTATTTATGATCCTTGTTGCCACATCTCAGGATCCAGTCAAACTACACTAGACATAGCCTTAAAATAGACTTAGTGAGAGAGATGACACGTTGAGAGTTCTGAAGGACCTCAATGACGAGTGTTTGGAGGACCCTGAAGATTAAATTGACCATTGTTTTCACAGAGTAGTCATGAAGAAGCACAAGAGAACCCGCACTAAAGACTCACCTGGAGCAGTTTCCTTATCTAGCGGGTAGTTCATAGACATTCTTGTCTCAACAGACCAAAAATTAAAAACGTAGACCACAAGATAAGCATTTATGCAGATGATGTATTACTTTTTCCTCCTAAACTCACAAACTTCTCCTTCTGAGACAATCACACTTATAGATAAATTCTCATCCATCTCAGAGTACTTTTTAACTAGAGTAAATCCAGGGACGTGCACAGGGGGGTTGGCTCTGGTTGCCCGGGCAACTGCCCGTTTGCCTTTCCTGACTCAAGTTGCCCTTCCGAGAAAAAAAAAAATCGCAAAGCCTCATTCACTTCCATTCGGGCACCGAAAGTGAAAGTCAGTAGGGGAAGGGCAAACTCTGTTTAAGTGGCTGCACTGCTGCAGCGCTGCCTGCACGTCAGTCGATTCTGTTCCCTACCGGAATTCCTGTTTCCTTCCTTTATGCAATCATACTACAACAAATCATGCGTAGTTTTGCCCAGTTACCATACGTGATACGTACCAACAGAAGTGAATACGAGCTAGAAGCGCAACTGAATGTACGGGAAGCCAAAAGGTTAAAAAAGGATTGTATTTTTTTCCGAAATCTAAGCGTTTTTTTATTTAATATTTTATTAGAAGCGAGTTTTCCCCATCTGTCAATTCAATCTAGATTATTTATTTTCAAATAAAAAAAAAAAGGAAAAAAAAAAAAAAAAATATAAGGAACTCTTTTTCTCATATGTATTTTGGTGACATTTATATTGTTAATACATTTTGGATACTGTGTTTAGTGCCTTTTTTCAGGTCAGAGCAACTGCCCTTCAAAATTCCTGTGCACGTTCCTGAGTAAATCCATAGTTTTACCTGTAATGTGTGATGACATCTTGTGATGGACAACATTGCCCAAATCAGTCATGGGAAGAGTCGCCACCATACAAATGATGGTGTATACCTAAAATCAATTACCTGTTTTCAATGTTACCCACCCAACCTTCTGTTGTCTGGTTTAAGGCACTGGACTCAAACATCTAACATTTTAAATAAACCCTACAAATCAGTTTAAAAACTCTACAAAAGCAAAAGATTGTGGTGGTTTAGAACTGGCATTTCTTTTTCTTTACTTCTTGGCCAAGAGACTACAATGTATTTGTAAATTGATCAATCCGAGCCCACTGAACCACTCATGGATGGACATAAAAGAAAAAATCTGTAAGGAAATTAAAAATTTCCAATATGCCATTCATAGGGTCTAGTAGCAAACATCATACCTGCTTTATAAGCATTAACTTTAGAACTTCCCCAGCAGCCTGTCGGGAATATCTCTAGGTCTTCACCCATCACATGCAGACTTCCTCTAATCTGGAATAATCCCGAAATCCTCCAAAATAAGAAATAATTAATTCCCATCTACAGCATGTCATGCAGGGCAGTAACTTTATTCCATTCCAGGATCTAGTGGCACAATATGGAATTAGCAATTATACTTTTCTTAAATATCATCAACAATTTAAATCCATAATTCTGGTGAGATTTAAGGATAACAAAATGGATTTAGATCTACCTCCAGTGATAGCAGACATTCTTATCAGTAACACTGATCACATGGAAGACCTGGTTAGAGCTGGGACCACATTTATTACCATTGCTTTTCATTAAATATTTAAGATTTTTCTTTTTACCGCTGCCTTTAACTAATAGATTGATAACTTACACTGCACTGTAACTTTTACTGTCCTGTTTTCTTTTTTGGTTTTTATCTTTTTTCCATTGCTTTTAATTAAATATTTACACAGTGGGAAATGAGTAGGTAACTGAGTGAAAAAATAATGAGAGTGAGATTGAACAGAGTGAAGGAAGTGGTCTTAAATCTCGCGCCTGAGTGATTTGCAGGAACCTCTGTCCACCTGTAAATGCGCAGGTGGGTCCAGAGTATAACTGGATCAAAGTGGCCTGTGGACAGACATGTCCTGGTTTCTCTGTAGTGTCCGAGGGTTTTTGGAGTTTAAGTGGACCCAAAGATTGCTATGCACCCGAGTACAGACTAGTTAGAGAGAGTAGATTAAGTGCACTTCTGTTTATTCTCTTTTCAAAATAATTGTAACTCAATTATTTGCTCAACCACTGTTTTTATTTTCCATTTTACTCTTTTAACCCTGATTGTACACTGCACTGTAACTTTTATTATTTTTTTAAGTGTAGTTTTTCAATTTCCCTATGTTGCTTTTAAACTTTATATTTTCCTGTTGCTTTTATGTTTTATGTAAAGCACTTTGAATTAAAGTCTGATGTAAGCAGATAACAGTAAGTTGTGTTAGTTGCAGGGAATCTGTCTGTCTGTCCTGCTAACCCAGCTGGGAAGTGCATCCTGCTCTGTCTGTGTTTTGGTTGCTTGCCAGACTTTATGTCTGAACAATGTTGAATTACAACTTTTTATTACGGTTGATTACCGCCGACCGGCCACGGTGTTTATAAACTGCATCTGGGAAAATAAAACTGCGTTGTGCGTGAACGCGTACATGAAATTAAACTTGGGCATTCCAACAGAAACATAAGTGGGTCGAGTCCAGACAAGACACAGGTGTGATGGCACTCCTCATAGCAACTCATCAAGACACTAATTATCTGTCTCTCTGTCAAGTTTAGATACAACTCTGTACTAATGCAAGATCGAAAACTGTGAATTCACATTGACTATTGATTATTAAAATGTTGATTAGCTGGGCAGACTGGGCAATATAGATGCACATCTCTCAGTAATTAATAAACATCACTTAGTCAGTTAAGTCACATAGTATTGAAATTTGAAAATATATATATATAATATCTAGCAAGTATTGTTATCTATAAATTACAAGTGCTATGCTCTAGTTTGTCAGTAGAGTACCAGCTAGTACCAGCACAAACTCCAGCTTCAGCCAGTACGAGCACAGACCAAGTACAGACCACTTTAGCAGGTCCCACAGACCCAGGTGAAATACAGGTAGCCTCGGCCAGTAGCCTACTAGCACACCCGTAGATGCACAGCATAGTTGTCATTTGTTAAAATGGTTCTGATAAATTGTTTGCAATAACAAATGTTAAATGACTTGCTTTGAGAAAGGTTTATTTGCACAATAAGAAACATGCAATGCATTGTAAAAAAGAAAGGAATGCATTGTAACTTAAGCTAAAAAACAAGTTGCTGATTCCTACATTATATTACACCTTATACCTGAATGTTGTTTCATTATATATATATATATATATATATATATATATATATAAATTCAACCATAAATTGGTCTGGAAAATGTCTCCAGAATGTAGAAAATTAAGTGCTTAATGCTCAAAATCATCTCTCTACCCCCAAATAATATATCACAGTAGTAAATATATATTCTAATATCTTCTTGTTTTGTTCACGTTTCGAGAACAAGTGTATCACTGCAGCCCTAATCTGAGCCCTTAAATTTCCCCACTTTCCAGCACAAAGTGACGCCCCTTGATGTACAGCCAGCATTAGGTACAAGCAGCTCAGACCCTAATGGAACAGTAGATTGGCCCAGTCTTAAGAGACTTTATGAGTACTGAATTAGTGCGAAGTCCATTCAAACCAGCACTGGATTTTTCTAGAAGAGGTTTCCATTCAGACTTATTACAGAGACAGACTGTTTTAAAGGAGGGAGGATATCAGTGAGAGTACTGCTGTGTCAGGTCTGACTGTGCAGAAATAGCAAATTGTTTACATGGCTCTCGAGTCAGGTAGGAGGGCCCCATCGCAGAATTTCTTTAAGGTCCAGGGAGATCAGGACCGGCTCTGGTAGTCACGTAGGTCTGTGTGCTTATGATCCGGTCAAATCCCTTTCTGACATGGCAGTGCCATTAATAACGGGACAAGTAAGGGAAGCTTTTAAAGCAAATACTAGCACATTTTATCACTTTCAAAAATTTATGGGAGCCTGTGCCCCAGCAGAGCTTTATGTCTAGCAACACCCCTGCTTCCATTCTTTAAGTGGGAGACAGATCTATCCATTCGTCCAGACCAAAACTTCTGGACGCAAATATGTTTTAATATTTTTAGAATGACTAAAAATCCCAATCTACAACTTACACATTATGAAACTCTCCACAGAACACGCTATACAGGACAAAGGATGTTCAGAATGAGTCTTATTCAGTCAAACATCTGCCTGAACTGCTCAGGGATCATCTATGCATGCTATGTGGCTATGCACACCTGCCCAAAAGTTCTGACAGAAGATATCTGAAGACCTATCAATTTGGCTAAGGTACCCCGTCCCAGTTTCTCCATCACTCTGCATGCTGGGGGAACATAACAGGAGTCCACGCTTCTTACATACTTGTCACTACCCAATGTATCGCATTGGGCTGCTTTATGGCGGCTCCCCTGGTTTGGGGACATACTCTGGACCCGGAGGCCTGGGGCCTGGGGCCTGGTGCTTTTGCTCATGTCTTGGGTGGGTGGCATGTCCCTGGGCCTGGGATCCATTGTCTCCTCTCCTCACGGAGGCCCTCTGGGGCATGTGGTATGGGTCCTTTCTGTTCTCGCCTGCTTGCCACTGGGGCTGGTGTGGCGCTGTTGTGGCATCCCACTCTCACTAACAACTACATTCCACACACACTCACAGACGCATACACACACACATGGACACACACGTACACACACACTCAAATTTAGGTTGTCCACGGTTGTCAACAGGTAGTTGCATTATTCGTTTTGCTTTTCATTATCTATTTAAATGAACTGTTATTGTTCCGGCTGTCATGGCTGGGCTGTGTTGTTTTTTATTTAACTTGACTTTTTCTCCTTTTCATTCTCCCACAGTTATTTTCTTATGTCTGCTGTTTATTGCTGCTTTTCGGCTGGTTGTCTGCCCTCTTTACTACAGTTCTGCTTTTCATGTCCTTGCACTGTTTTGTTTCTCTTACAGCACAGGCATAACCACAAGCACTGTGACTGTGTCTCTGGGTCTCCAGAGTCTACAGGGATCAAACCCCAATCAAGTGTCTCGGACAGTATCACAGATCATCATTCATCCCAACTTTAACTCTCGAACTTTTGACAACGACATCTGCCTCCTGAAGCTCTCCTCACCGGTGATTTTCACCACCTACATTCAGCCCGTCTGCCTGGCAGCCACAGGCAGCACCTTCTACAAGGGGACTCTCTCCTGGGTCACCGGCTGGGGCGATGTTGGAACTGGAGGTAGGTCAGAAAGCACATCTGTGTTTTCTCAGATATTCGATGCAAAAATGTTGTTGCTTCTTTACACAGCGTAGCAACTAAACCTTTTACTTTTATCATGATCTGTCTGTGACATTAGCAAGCACACAGTTTTGTAAACAAGTTTAAATCTTTTATACACCCCAGTGACCCCACAATACGTAGGTGACCTGTTGAGTTTTCTTGTCAACAAAGAAAAGTTTTGTTTACATCAACAGTTTCTCACCAAATCACACTGTGTGTATTCTTTATCATTTACAACACAGATTCTTCAAAAAACGTTAACTTACGCATTCTTTATATCGATGTCTGGTTGCTAGCATCCTTCCATCCTTCTTCTTTGGTGCCTTTGTTGGTGAATTTCTGCACTGCACCGATATGAATTTTTGAACACCTGATACCAGTATTTAGAGAGCAGTGTGGCAGATGGCCGATGCCATGATGTTTTTAATTTTTTTATCATCTGATAAAATTTAATCATAATAATGATGAGATGTCATTTTTTAACGCTATAAAACAAAAATAAAACAAAGTGAAGTCAGGTATATTTCCATTTTTCCATGTACATTACAGTCTATTTGGCATGTTCTCTGGAATTTTATTTATTAGAATAGAAAAATACATTGGGTTATGCTGTAGATTTCAGAATGTGACCAGTATTTAATGCATCATTATTAAACTGCATTATACTATACATTATTACATATTATGTAGCTAACACAAGCCTGTAACAGCTTAAGAGTATATTTAGAAACATGTTAACATTGAAGTACTGGAAGTGTTTTTAAGTTTGTTGGTGGACGTGTTCTTTGGTTCAACGCTGGAATTACTGATTATACCTTTGATGGGCTAAGACCTTGTAAAACAGCTTTCATGATCTTTTAAGTACAAGTAGTGAGAATGTTTTCTTGATTCATAGGCACCCGGTAATACTTGAGGTGTGCCACAGGCCTACTGATGTAATAATTAAAATGGCAATTTTGTGTAAAACCATTACATTTCAGCCCTTGTGTGTTTACTAAACTGAATTTGTGTCTCTTCAGTGAACCTTCCTTCCCCAGGAAACCTGATGGAGGTGCAGCTGCCGATTGTGGGGAACAGACAGTGTAACTGTAACTACGGAGTGGGCTCAATCACAAGCAACATGATGTGCGCCGGGTTAAGTGCTGGAGGAAAGGACTCCTGTCAGGTGATCATTTTTTGCCTGAGTTCATGTCAGATTTCACCTCCAGCAAAGATTCCTTCTCCTAAATGTTTGTCTCTTTAAAGGGGGATTCAGGAGGTCCGATGGTGAGCAAGCAGAGCGGTCGCTGGATCCAGGAGGGAGTCGTCAGTTTTGGAAGAGGCTGTGCCGAGCCTAATTTCCCAGGAGTCTACACCCGAGTGTCCCAGTATCAGTCCTGGATCAACAGCCAGATCACCAGCAACCAGCCAGGCTTCCTCACCTTCACGTCCACTGGGACTGACGGTGACCTCAACGCCACTTGTCCTGGCTTGCCAGCACCTCCAACCACCCCATTTAAACAACTCTCACCCTAACAACCACAGCCCCACGTAAGTACCTGACATGCCCAGATGTTGATTTTAACTCTCCCTGGAAAGCTTTAAAGCCACATTTCCTTGCTTTTTTAACTTAACTGGTTTCTCCTCTCATAAGTAGTCAGACCAAGTCTTAACAGGGCCGAGTAGAATCTCTAGTATCGTCAATCAGGATTAACAGTGACACTCGTGAATAAGAGGAAATATCGTACGAGATTTGACTGGTGGGAGAGATGGGAAATCAAAAACGCAAACAACTGAAGGTGAAAAACCTGATCATTTGTATCCTATTAGAATTATGGGTGAACAAGATTTATCATGTAAAATCATATGGTTTTATTTTCTATTTGACTTTTTAAAAATTGTATAAGGTCTGTTGCTTTTATGTTTTATGTAAAGCACTTTGAATTGCCTTGTTGCTGAAATATCCTATCTAAATAAACTTGCCTTGCCTTAAAATTATACATTTTTCTTTACGTAAAGCACAATTAATGATCAGGATAGTATTTAGATTGTTTAGAAATTTGCGCAGGGGCGGCACGGTGCTACAGTGGTTAGCAAGAAGGTCGTGGGTTCAAACCCCAGTTGCCTCGGCCTTTCTGTGTGGAGTTTGCATGTTCTCCCCGTGTCTGTGTGGGTTCTCTCCGGGTGCTCCGGCTTCCTCCCACCGTCCAAAGACATACAGGCTAGGTTAATTGGTGACCCTAAATTGTCCTTAGGTGTGAGTGTGACTGGTTGTCTGTCTATGTGTGGCCCTGCGATCGACTGGCGACACTGTGCCCAGTGTCAGCTGGGATTGGCTCCAGTCCCAGCTAAGGTGGTTCACCTCTTACCGGGTAGATCGCCATGGTAACTTATGCTGAACGGCTGACCTGCTCCGGAGCAATCAACGCAATATTATAGACTATGTCAACGGCAGTTCATTTTAGGCATTCACACTGTCTGCGATTTTCTGTCTCCCTGCGTGTGTTACTGCCGTATTTCTGTAGTGTTACAGTTCAGTATTCGTTCATAAAATATGACGCTCTGCTGACAGCGAACTTGTTCATGTCTGTGATTGGTCATCTGTTGCTAACACCACCTCTTTTATGTGAACACGCTCCCGGCTGAATTGGGAAACCCTGGGTTGACTAACTGAGTTGATAACCAGCTTCATGGTACCGCTTATCCCGATCGTGATTGTTAGGGTTAGTTAAGCCAGATGACAAAAACATATCCTGGGTATGTTGAACTCGCTTGTTTACAGTCTAAATGCTAAGCTAAGCTAAGCTAACTGACTTCTGGCTGTAGCTTCACATTTCCCTTATTTTATAAATCTGTTTATTTTCAGGTACAACCCACATCGATTAACATCACTGTAAATGTGCAAGTTTTAGCTAAAAGGCAATTTTACAATTGGTGTCCCTTGGCCAGATGTTAAATTATCCACATAAATTTACTAAACAAAGGGATTGAACTTCAAATGTACCTCTCAGCAAGAAAGTGAAAAAACATAGTTCATAAAATGTTAAATTATATCTTAAAGGCATAAGGAAATATGGTTCAGAGGAAAAAGAATATTATTTGAAAGAAAACACATTTTTTCTATAGTTTCATGAAACTTACTTGAACATATCTGTCTTGCTTGTTTGTTCAGGCTGATTCTGGCGGTCCAGTGATGTGTGAGCAGGGTGGCTCTTGGCTCCGGGCAGCAGTGTTAGTTGGAACAAGAGCACTAATCAAGACTGAAACAACAGCACAGCACAGCTGCCACCAATACCCACTACCACTCCTGCTCACTTGCTCTTCTTCTTCTCCATCTCCTCTCTTCTCTGCGTGTGAGATTCTGGATGCTAACTACTTTCTCTCTAAAATCAAGGGTGTAAAATTAAGCTATAGGGATAATATGGATATCTGCATCTGTTTTATTATGATTTGTATTCATACAATTACAAATATGTGAAATCTCATATATAATTTTAACAAACTGAAGATTATTTTTATGAATGAGTGTACAATGGGATCCCCAAGTGCCACTCATTATGTTGTAGTTACAAAAAAATGGATCTACAATAATTCTGAGGAACACAGTGACAATAATCACCTGTTCATCATCTGCAGCATATTATTAAAAAATAATGACAGTTTTAAGTCTTGCAAGCTTTGCAATGAAATACTGTGCT